AATAAAAAACTGGATCATAAAATCTAGCCGAGTGTTTATAATATAAATTCAAAGGATCGGAGATGGATGATGTTGCAAGCATTGACTAAAAAGAGACAGGGAGACAGTGTCATGTTAGTCTGATCTGCCCCTTAATATCTTTTTATTTCCTAGTCTCTGGTTATTATGGGAGTTCGAGGCAAGCCACTGATCGATCATATGGCTGCATCCGCTTTTCAGATAAGTTGTAAAACAACTTGTATACCTACATCAAAAGTATAAACTTGCTACAAAAAAGTATGCCTACATGATATATGATTGATAAAGTGTTTGACTGAACAAGAAATATAGTAAGAGTAAGAAAAAATTACCACTTTTATTACTAAAACTAATGAGTTTTTACTGTATCATCCATCTATGCATGTGTTGATATCCATCCCTATTATATCCTTCCACATCATATATCTTTTAGGAGCAGGCTGCAGAATAAGGCTACTGCTTCAATGGTTATGGTTCAGTGAGGAACTATACTCTAACACATTGATAGACTTTTAGAATAGGCTTAACACATGAATATGAAGGATTTGGACCTATAGAAATAGATCACTTTGATGAACAGAACAAGGAGTTTGATTCACAGTGAACTGGAAAGTTCACTAGACAGTTTTTGTGAGCAAACTGATTTTTTTGGAAGTTGTGAAGGTGAGTGAGAATTGTAGTGTGTATTAGGAGCTGATATAAAAGGTGACACAAGATATATCATGGTTCAGATGTGATGTAATCCTCCTACATCCAGTCCCAACCTATTTCAGAAGGATTTCCACTAAATATAATGAATATCCCACATAATTAGTCCTATGAGTGAATAAAAAACAATGCAGTCCTGTTTCTGATTGTGGACTACATTATACTCTTATTTAGTAGGTAATTAACTCAAATATGTACTCATGTTTTATTACTTTTACGGAGTATTGTATATTTCTCTTAATTTTCAGTCGAATAGTCAAATAACTTATCGATCATGTATCATGTAGGTAGGAAAATGTTCATGTAAAGTAGGTCTAAAAGTTGTAATTCTTAGACCTCTTTCATTTGAGGTGCTTTCGGGTCAAAATTTTTGATGAAATTTTGTAAGCATGTTCTTCTTGAATTGTGGGTTATGTCCACATAATTTCATATTAAAATTCGATCGGGAAGTTAGTTAAATAATTTATTGGAAAAAAACTCCATTTTAAGCCTTAAAAACGGTGCAATTTTCAAAAATTTATTTAACTAACTTTCCAATTGAATTTTAATAAAAAATTTGGTGGACATAATCTACATTTCATGGAAAACATGCTCACCAAATTTAATCAAAAATTCGACAAAGAAGCAACACAAATGAAAGCCCATTTGGTGATATTGAATCGCTAAGTTCACTGAAATTCGTGATTTTTAACTGAATCGGTTGACTTATGAAAAAGAATACTATCTTATCTTTTTAGTTGCAACATAGACAATTTTACACTATTCACATTCTCTACTTTGACTATATTTTATTTATTAATGTATGACAATTCCCCCCCCCCCCCCCCCCCCCCCCCGAAAAATGTTGTTGAATTCGTCTCATTTCAAATTCGGGGAAAATAATAAAAATACCCCAAACTTTGATGGGGTGTGAAGTAAACACCCAAACTTGCGTATGTAATTTGAATATCCCAAACTTTATATAAAAAGCTATTTTCGCACCATACATGTATTATTTCTTTCAAAAATGTAAATTTATGAGGTTAATTGCATAATTTAAAATATGAAATGAAAAGTGTTGCAATTATATATATTGGGGGTAACATTATTTATTTCGCAATGGAAGTTTTATACTGTTAATTGTGTCTTCATGAATTCTAAAATATTTAAATTATGAAATTAACACCATCAATTATTATTTTTGAAAGAAATAATAGTTGACAATGATTCAAAAATAGCTTTTTATATAAAGTTTGGAGTGTTTAAAGTACATATGCAAGTTTGGGGTGTTTATCTCACACCCCTTCAAAGTTTGGGGTATTTTAATTATTTTGCCCTTCAAATTTTCATAATATGATTTTAATTTTTACTCCCTCCGGTTTTTAATAAACTTCACACTTTTCTTTTTGGGACGGTCTAAAATAAACTTCACACTTCCTTATTTCCCTTTTTGGCAAAGAAATCTACGTCAAAACAGTGCCAAACAGTGCCGAACAGTGTCTCAACAGTGTCAAACAGTGTCTCTACAGTGCCAAACAGTGCCTCAACAGTGTTGATAGAGTATTAATTCTAGAGAGAAGTGAGAGCTAGAGAGAGAAAGTGAGTAATTATATTTCTCAACCCCCTATAACTAGCCCCAAGGGGTCTATTTATAGGAAAAAATGTGGATTTGGGCTCCTAGCCATGGGCTTAGGAGGCCCATTACAATAATCATGCCTTCTTTGGGCGAAATAGGGCCACTAATGGGCTGTGTACAATACTTAGTAAAATAAAGTAGAGAGATGCTTTCTGCCCGGCCGAAGTCTGGCCGATGCGGTGTCTTTGGCCGATGCGGCCCCATGGCCGATGCGGTCCATGGGCCGATGCGGTCCCGGGAGTTCATGCGCGCTTTCTGGGCCGGTTTGGTTTCTGGCCGATGCGGGCCTGCTGGCCGATGGGGGCCACGTGGGTGTTCTTCTGGTCGTCGTTGACTTGAGTATGTGGGGCCATGGGGTCCAGGCCCATATACTCTATCAGGAGTCCCCCACTCTCTGAGCTGAGGTGAAGCCGAAGCGAAAGGGAGTACTTGTTCCTTTCTGGCTGGCCGCTGTGTGAGCTCGAGGTGCTTGGTGGCCTGAAGAGGTTCTGCTTTGATTTTGGGATGAAGCGGTTCCCTCATCTGATGCAGACGGGGCGCGCTTGGGGATTTCATAACTTTGGTGCGGGCCGATGCGCTATTTGTGAAGAGTGTTCCGAGGACGACGCGGTGCGCTTTCTTCTTCCAGTAGATGTGAATTATGGAGGAACTGGCCTGTTTTATTACCATTTTGTTGGGGCCGAAGAGGTCCTATTTATTTTTTTTTGGCCGTAGTGATGGTCCTTGTTTTTGCGAAATGGGGATGACTGATTTTGTTCGTGAGGACGATGCGATGCCTGTCTTTGATCTTGTCACGTGGCCGGAGCATGTTTGCTTTGCGGTGTTCTCGCCTTGGTGAGCCGGCGCAGTCCCCCAATGTACGTAGTCGTTGCGCGCTGTATTTTGTATAAGTGTTTTAAATTTTTGGGGTCTGTAGCCGATGCGATCCGCAATGTCATTGAGGTGATTCGCGGCTAATTAGTGAGCCGTAGCGCACCCTTTTTGCACTTAAGGCCGGGCGCTCCCTTTTTATGTTGTCTTCTTTCTTGTGGCCGATATAGTCCCCCAGTCCCCCACTCCTTTGGCCGAAGAGTATTTGAGGCACAAGGGAGTCATGATGTTCTCGAGCCGATACGGTACCCATGCGTTAGTCGTGAGTCCAACCCTTAGGCGAACCTGTACAAGGTAACCCTGTGGGAGAACCCTTGGACGAAGGCCGCAATACCAGGGTCATCATCAAACGATGTGCGTGTGAGTAGCCGTAGCGGTACTTGTGTTTCTTGGGGTTGATTTGGGGCCGTAGCGTGTTTGCTGATGCGGCCATTTCCTTGGTAAATTGGGCCGTAGCGAGTTTCTTATTGCGTTTGAGCGAGTAGGCCTGTGCCTACCCCTAGTTTCGGGGCCTGTTGGGCCGTAGTGGTGGCTTTAGAGTGGAATGTGAAAAGACAAGCGCTGATTGGCTTTAGGAGAGGCGCCGTTGAGGTGCCCAATTGGGGATTGCCACGTGTAGTGACCGTTGGAGGGGTACCTATAAGTACCCCCAATTCCGAAGCCATTCCTTCATTCGCCTTTTGCCTAAGTCGAATTGCCGCTGAGATTCCTAGAGAGAGAAGTGCTTCCCCGAATCTCCAGGTGTTCAAGTGTTCTTCAAAACTTCAAGGTTAGGTTCTTGTAATTGTTTCTTTATTTTTCCTTATACTTTGCTTCCTAGGGGGTTAGATCTAGTGTTCGTAGGAAAGTCACTTTGATCCGAAAAACCGCCCTTAGGAATAGGTTTAGGTGTTATGCCGTTCCCTAACGGCCGTAGCGTTCCCTCCCCCGTTGATTTGACAGCTTCTTTGGACGAGTCGGATTGGCCTTTTGACGAGGACGATACGTCCCCTGGAGTTGATCTTCGACTGATTGAAGCCTTCGAGATCGAGATGGAGAATACCGCCGACTACCGCACCTCCGTAGATGAGGAGAGAATGAGTGCCGACGCGGGAGCACATAATTCTGGTGAGGACGAGGCGACATCTAGCTCGCCTCTGAGGGGGGATGAGGCATCCTCGTCTGCCCGCATTCCTTGTCCTCCGCCGATATCGTCAGTAGCGGGGGAAGGCCCCTCGGCTCCTAAGACGAAAAAACCGTACCGGCGGAAGCATCGTAAGGGAGTACCGCAGGGGTTTTCAAAGTTAGATCTCAGCAACTTGTACATCATTCGGCCGGAGGGGACCCTCGGCGATTATCACGTTGCGCAGCTGTACGTCGGTCCCTACGGCCGTGTCAGAGCCCCCTTGCCGTCGGACCATGTTCTGAACCCGCCTTTGGGCTATTTTGGTGTCTACCCGATGAGTTTTGCCAAGGGTCTGAGATTCCCTCTTCATCCCTTCATCAAGGAGTATCTTGAGATGGTGGAGCTCCCTCCGGCCTTATTGACTCCCAACAGCTTTTCGCTCATCATCGGCTTCTTGATCCGGTGTAAAGAGTTGGAGATTCCGCCGACGACTGCCCTGTTTATGAACTTGTTCCGGATAGGCCGAGGGAGCCATCAAAACTGTGCCGGCTACGCAACCCTGCAGCAGATTAGTGGGAGGAGGTCGTTTACGGATCTCCCTACGTCCATTCATGGCTGGAAGGCCAAGTTCGTGTTCGTCACCTTGGGTCAGGGTGGCTTCTTTCCTTCCAATGGTCACAGCAGCCTCTTTGAATTGCATACCCCCCCTTGGAGTGCCGAAATAAGTAATCAAGTAGAGGCCTTTATTAAGGGGGGGCCGAGGAGCATCAAGACATACGTTACTGAGTATCGGATGGCTGCTCTCGGCTTCGTGAGATACTATTGTCCTGGTGATGTCGATGATGATCTTTGGCCGAAGATGGTGGGGTCTTATGAGCAAGCCGACGGGCCCCGCCTAGGCGTGCCAGCTGAGGCCGAAGGTTGACCTCCTTTCTTTATCTTTTCATGATGTTTCGTTTTCCTTTGCTAACCCTTGTGTCTTTTTGTGCAGGCTTCGATATGGATCGCATGTCATTTATGGCTCGGGCCGCCAGGAAGGCCGATGCGGAGTTGAAAGCTGCTCAAGCTGCCGAGGCAGCAAAGAAGTCTGCGGGCGGTTCCCAAGGGGGTGTTGAGGCCGCTAAGAAGCCTGTGGCTAAGAAGAGCAGGAGGGCTGCTGATGAGGGCCAAAAGACTCTGGCCGAAGCGGGGCTAAAACTGAGCCAGGCTTCGAAGAAGACGAAGAGGGCTCCCACGAATGAAGAGGCCGGCGCCCCCTCATCTCAGGCTGTTGCGGATGTTCAGCCGTCGGCGGTCCCTCCTGTGAATGATCCCCCTTCGTCGGCCGTTGTGGCCTCGGCTTCTCGAGTTGCTCCCTCTACTGCCGCTGCCCGCCCGTTTGGAGGAGGCTCTTGCTAAGGGGTCGTATGAGGTCTCCGTACGATACCCTGTCAAAGGTGGTCTTTTCAACGAGGCCGTCGGCGGTGATGACATGCTTGCTCAGGCTATGCCTGAGTATGATCGCCAGTATCTCGGCCGACAAGGCCAGCATGTTCGGCTGTACGACGGAGGGATGGACTATGTCGTCCAGGTAAGACATTTTCCTTGGTGATTTTTTTTTTCTTTGCTTTTGTTTCTCTTCTGATTTCAAATTCCGCTTCGTCCAGGGTGCCCTAATGCTGCGGGAGCAGCACTGGAGACAGGAAGCCGAAATAGAGCGGCTAAAGAAGATGGAGGCAAAGGCTGTTTCGGCCGATGAGGCTCTCCAAGATCTGAGGGACAAGGCCAAGGCCGCGGAGGGTGAAATGCAGCTCCTTCAGCTGCGTCTTGATGAGGCCGAGTCAGCCCGGAGGAAAGCTGATGAGGCCGTTGCCGTTGCCGTCCAAAGAGCCGAGGAGGCGGAGCGGCTCAAAGCCGAGGCGGAGGGGGCTGCTGAGAAGGCCGTAGCCGACTTCAAGGCCGAGGGGTGGAAAGCCGAGGACCAGCTCCCCTTCTGCTATGAGGTGGTTGCCGAGAGGTTGAATGATTGGACGACGAAGGACCCCGCCGGCCAAGAATTCTGGATGAACGAGATGCAAGCTTTCTACGACTGTGGTCAGTACAGAATGCAGAAGCTGATCTACAGGAAGCTTCGTCGTCGCTTCCGGAAGATGAGGCCGAGGGGTCTGAGTCTCCCTCGGCGAATGAAGAATCCTGACGAGGATTTGAAGCTCCCCCTGTTGGAGAGGCAGCCCCCGATCCTAAGTTCGTCTGAAGGGGAAGAGCCGTGGAGTGATAGTGACGACTATTTGCTCGAAGGGCCTGCCGACTCCCAAGCCGATGAGGGTGGTGGTGATGATGATGCCGATGACGGCCACGGCGACGGTGCTGTTGATGGTGGAGTGCCAGCTAATGTTGTAGCTTAGTATTTTCTTGTATTAGTTTTTGTAGCCATAGCACTGAAGTGCATGTAATGGCCGAAGCGCCCACCTCTTGTATTTTTTTATCCATTAATGATAAGTCTTTGTCACCATGATTCCCTCGTCGTCTTTGTAGTTAAGTATGTTTGCTCTTGTAAAATTTTCTAAGTGTCAACGCTGTGTCTCGAGGTCGTTGGCGTCCCTTGATTGAGACAGCGATTTTCTCGCCTTTACTGTCTTTGGGGACGATGCGTCTCCTCGTCCCTTAGTGACTTTTTATTTTTCCCTTGGCAAATCTTGTCCGCGTCTCAAGTTTTGGGGCTTAGTCTTGAAGTGTTGAGGACGAAGCGATACCCAGTGGTGGTGTAACGTTGCCTTAGTGAGACTCGCCTTGAAGCTGTGGAACGTAGTTTCATGGAGACGACGCGGCCCGTCGTCCGAACCGTGAAATGTGGTCTCGTATAATCGAAACCAAGGCGATTTCCTATTATGAAGCTGTGGTTGAGGCCGAAGCGCGTGCCTCGGATTCCTGTATGGTGAAGACCTGATATGTACTTAGCCGATTTTGAGGCTTGGCTTTTGGGGACTTTATTTTTTGCTCGAGGCCGGCGTGTGCGCGGTCCGTCGGCTTCCCCTCTTTTTTTTTTTTTTTTGGGGTGGCCGAGGGGTTACTGTCCCTTCGTCCATGTGCGGTAGTTTGTCCGCTACGCTTTTTGCGTGAATCAGTGCGAGGGAGTAAATACGCCCTCGGCTTGGTGTGTCAGTGGCATCTTTTTTGGCCTTTCCACGTCTATCGTCGACGAGGGACCGGGCTAGGCATCGTCTTTTGACGGCCGCCCTTTGTGGTACTGAGCGAAATTTTACTGACGGGTGGAGTTTTTGTAACCTCAGCCTTAATTCAGGCCTGTCGTCCTGCGGTTTCCGCGCGGACGACGCGGTATGCTTCTCCGTTTGAAGACGTTGGACCATGCACACAGGTCCTTCGTCCTGCATATCGCCGGCCGATTTGGGTGTTTCACCGCTTGTGCCGATACGATATTTAGGTGCGTTGTCTATGCAACGGCTTTGTAGGCGCGCTGTGGATCGCAACGGCCTTAGGTGCGTTGTTTATTGCAACGGCTTTAGGTGCGTCGTTTATTGCGACGGCTTTAGGTGCGTCGTTTATTGCGACGGCTTTAGGTGCGTTGTTTATTGCAACGGCTTTAGGTGCGTTGTTTATTGCAACGGCTTTAGGTGCGTTGTTTATTGCAACGACTTTAGGTGCGTTGTTTATTGCAACGGCTTTGGGTGCGTCGTTTATCGCGACGGCTTTAGGTCGCATCGGTCCCGGGTGATTGCACCGCTTAGGCCGATGCGGTCCTTAGGTTTCCCTTTGCTCAAATCTTAAGAGATTGGATGAAACATGAATTTTATTCAATAAGTGGCGCTAGGCCGAGGGTGTTTTATTCAACCAACACGCCGAGGGGTGGGGGACGTTGCCCGCTTCACCACTTCTCGAATTATTGGTAAAATTTCACCAAATGGTGTATATTCCACAGTCGTGGTACATCTGACCCATTAGGGTTCTTTAGTTTATAAGTGCCGGCTTTGACGACGGCGCTGATGATGTAGGGCCCTTCATATTTGACGGCGAGCTTTCCCCCTTCCGTCGGCCTGCTTGCTTCCCTTCGGCGGAGGACGTAGTCCCCCACCTGGAATTCGCGAGAGCGGACCTTGGCGTCGTAGTAGGATTTGACTTGTCGTCTGTAGTTCTCCGCTCTGAGGTAGGCCATTTCTCGTTTTTCGTCGATGAGGTGCAAGTCAATCTTCATTGCTTCTTCATTGGCCTCGGGATCGTATTGTGTGACCCGTCGGCTGGGAAGCGTCACCTCAGTGGGAGCCTTGGCTTCGAAACCGTAGCACAAGGAGAATGGTGTCTCCCCGGTGGCCCTCCTCGGCGTGGTGCGGTAGGACCATAGGACGTTGGGGAGCTCGTCGACCCAACTTCCGCCTTCTTCTTCGAGCTTCTTCTTTAGTCCCTCCAAGATGGTTCTGTTGGCGTTCTCAACTTGCCCGTTGGCCTGAGGATAGGCAACGGAGGAGAAACGGTGTTTGATGCCCCATTCTTGGAGGAGGCTTTGGAACGGTTCGGCATCAAATTGGGTGTCGTTTTCTGATATGATCTCCTGGGGCACGCCGAAGCGGGTGAGGATGTTCTTGTGGACGAACTTACGACACCGCGCTCCGGTGATGCTTGCGAGTGGTTCGGCTTCGACCCATTTGGTGAAGTAGTCGATGGCGACGATGATATATCTGTTGTTGCCCGCAGCTCTTGGTAATGGGCCGACGAGGTCGATGCCCCATCTGGAAAATGGGATGGCAGTGCTGACCGGGGCGTAGTTGACGGCCGGCCGACCAGGTTCCCTTTGGTAGTGTTGGCATGCGCTGCATTTGCGGGCGACTTCAGCACAATCGCGTGCCATCGTCGGCCAGAAGTAGCCTTGGACGACGAGGCGGCGCGACATGCTGAAGGGCCCCTGATGTGATGAGCATACGCCGCAGTGGATTTCTTCCATGGCCACTTCGGCCTCATTCTGGTGGAGGCACCGGAGGAGGGTGCCATTGTATGATCTCTTGTAGAGCTTGTCACCCTCAATGACATAGCTTGGCGCCCTAAGTTTGGCGAGTTTAGCCCTCTCCTCGTCTTCAGGTAATGTGCCGGAGGTGATGTAGGTTGCGATGTCGGTGATCCAATCCTCCGGCTGGTGTTGTATGGAGAGTATAGGGCTTGCGTGAATGCTTGACATGCTCAACTCCTCCACCTTAGCTATCTTGGAGATGTGCTCAGGGGTGTCGGAGCTGAGTTTGGAGAGGATGTCGGCCTCGGCGTTCTCCGCCCTTGGGATCTGAGTGATCTCGTAGGTGTCGAACGCCCTGAGCAATTCCGCAGCGGCCTCCTTGTATTGCCTCATCCTCCCTTCTTTGGCCTTGTAGGAACCCTCCATCTGGCTCACTACGAGTTTGGAGTCGCATTTGATTCTGACGTGGCGCGCTTTGAGGCCAGCGGCCAGTCTGAGCCCGCTGAGGAGCGCCTCATATTCAGCCTCATTGTTGGATACTTTGAAGTTGAAGCGAATGGCATAGTTTGCTCTGAATCCTTCTGGGGAGATGAGGACGACGCCACCCCCACAAGCTTTGGTGGCCGAGGACCCGTCCGTGTAGAGGGTCCAAGCTTCGTCTGGTTCAGCTCCTGTGGTGGTAACGGCCGTCTCCCTTGCCGTGCATTCAGTGACAAAGTCAGCCAAGGCTTTCCCTTTGATGGATGGCCTCGGCTTTATCTCAATCTGGTACTGGCTCAAGAATATTGCCCACTTGATCATCCTTGGGGAGCTGGTTGGGCTCCTCATAAGGGCGCCCAACGGCTGATGCGTGAGGACTTGGACGGGGTGAGCCTGAAAATAGTGCCCCAGCTTTTTCACCGTGTGGACGATGGCCAGCACCGTCTTCTCGATGGGGGAGTACCTGAGCTCGGCCTCCCGCAACGTCTTGCTGACGTAGAAAATTGCCTTTTGTACCCCGTCATCCTCCCTGATGAGTACAGAGCTGACGGCCGACGTGCTCACTCCTAAGTAAAGGAAGAGAGTCTCGCCGGGTTGGGGCTTGGATAAGACGGGTGGGGAGGCGAGATATTGCTTCAGCTCCTCAAAGGCTTGTTGGCATTCCGTCGTCCATTTGAAGCTGGTGGCCTTCCTCATTATCTGGAAGAAGGGGAGCGACTTTTCCGCGGATTTTGAGAGAAAACGGTTCAGGGCCGCGAGGCGTCCCGTCAGCCGTTGCACCTCCTTTATGTTGCGGGGTGGCTCCATATTGACAATGGCTTGTATCTTTTTTGGGTTCACTTCAATGCCCCTTCGGCTGACCAGGTACCCCAAGAATTTACCTCCCTGGACGCCGAAGGTGCACTTCTTCGGGTTGAGCCGGAGGTTGTATTTCTTCATGATCTCAAAGATGCCCCGGAGGTCGTCGGCATGGGTTGTGGATTGTTTGCTCTTGACGATCATATCGTCGACGTATGCTTCCATCGTCCGACCTAAGACTGCTCTAAAAATCCGGGCTACCATCCTTGTGTAGGTGGCGCCGGAGTTCTTGAGCCCAAAGGCCATGACGAGGTAGCAAAAAATTCCTTCCGGGGTCATAAAAGCGGTCTTCTCCGCGTCATCTTCGTGCATGGATATCTGGTGGTACCCTCTGAACGCGTCGAGGAACGACATCAACTCGCACCCCGCCGTCTCATCCACCAACTGATCAATGTTGGGGAGAGGGAATGGGTCCATTGGGCACGCTTTGTTCAAGTCAGTGTAATCAACACACATTCTGAACGTAGGCGGCTTTTGGGCGAGGACGACGTTCGCCAACCACGTGGGGTACTTCACCTCTCTGATGTGCTTGATGCTGAGCAGCATGGCCACCTCGGCCTTGACAAATTCCCTCCTGTCGGCTGAGAGGTAGCGCTTCTTCTGTTTGATGGGGGAGGAGGCCGGGTTCACCGATAGCCGATGTGTGATAACCTTTGGGCTGATGCCCGGCATGTCCTCTGGTCCCCATGCAAAGACGATGGCGTACGCTCTCAGGACAGAGAGGATGTCCCTTCGGATCTGTTGGGGGAGCTGTGTCCCAATTTTCAGCATTCGTTCCGGCCGGGAGACGTCCAACGGAACATCTTCCACGTCTCCGACCGGTTCGGCCTTTGGCGTGTCTTCTTGGGCCGAGGCGGTGGTGATAGTGTCGATCCGCTCCTCGGCCTCATTGATCTTCCTTGTGAGCTTCAGGTAGCAAGCCCTGGCTATCTTCTGGTTCCCTCTGGCGTAGCCGACGCCGTCCTTGGTGGGGAACTTGAGGCATAGATGTCTCATGGAGATGATGGCCTCAAGGTCCTCCAAGGCCGGTCGTCCCCAGATCATATTGTGGGCGCTGTCCAGGTTGACAACCACGAACTCCATGTCAATCTTTGCCTGACAGGTACCGTCACCGACCACAACGGGAAGCACTATCGTGCCCTCGGCATCGATAGAGTCCCCGGTGAAGCCGGATAACGGAGTCCGTATCGGCCGGAGCTCGGTCTTCTTCAGCTTCAGCTGTCTGAATGTATCAACGTACATCACATTGACGGAGCTGCCAGTGTCGATGTAGTTGCGATGGATGATGTTGTTGCCAATCTCGCATTTGACGACGAGGGCGTCCCTGTGGGGCAAGGGGCCGAAGGGGAGGTCCTTGTCGGTGAAAGTGATGGCTTCCATATGCCGCCGCTTCGGCTGAGGGGGGGCGTGGGTCACCTCACCAACGTATAGGGACTGAGCCCATTTTTTCC